TTTAAAAAAAAAAGAAAAAAAAAAAAAAGATAAAATTACACAACACGACGAGATGGACGAACCACTAGCGTTAATAGGTCACGTGCGAGCTCTCTGAGTGGCTCTGAAGACAGCTGATAGTCGTAGAACGTCCATTGGCGGCGTTACTGTACCCGTCTCATGGTGTCCTTCCGTCTCAACTCTGAATATCACCGAACCATTAAGCAATAAAACGCTATCAATCGGACACTGTAAGGAGAAGAAAAGCCTATCGATGGACGTTCACAACAATAACTGTATTTATTTAGCGGCACACATGGTATGGTACTATCAACCGAATAATATCGATTAAACTTATTAAACGTAAACGTTTTAGATGATGAAAAAACGATGAGAAAAAGGAAAAAACGTGTCTTGTATGAACGAAGCGATTGAAAGCGAAAAACAACGGACAACAGTTCTTCTCTCCTCCTCGATCGTTTCGACGAAAATCGTTCAACTTATGTCGCGTAAGTGTGATAACATAAGAATCCACGAAGATGAACGAATCGATCGATTCGTGAAGAGAGATAGAGAGAGAAAGAAAGAGAGATAGAGGCAGAGTTGCAACTAAGATTCCAGCTGCAGAATCAATTTCCATATATATATATATATATATATACACATAAATATATATATATATATACATATAAAGCTGATGCGCGTTATAGCGCATCGACATTTCAAAGTATTCGCTTCTCGTGGATGAATGAAAACAGAAAAAAAAAAAAAAAAAAGATGAAAAAAAGAAAAAAAAAAAAGAAAGAAAACATAGTGCAAGCTGCCCTGGCCAAATCGAGGCGGGGGAAATTTTTCATTCACACACTCGATTGGTCGTCCACTCGAGCCTCAATTGTTGAAGATACTTGTACCTGGATGACTGATAATATAGAAAGAAATTTTTAAATCGACAGTTTTCGAACTCCTCAGACTGCTCAGGGTAGACTGTTGACCTAGAAAAAAGAAAAAAAAAAAAGAAAAAAAAAGAAAAAAAAAAGGAACAAAGAATATTCAAATTTCCGTTTTTAACATGGAAGCAGATTTAAACAGAAATAGAATAAACAGTCTGCATCTTCGATGGTCGGTATATATCACGTTGACGAGATTGAACCAGAGTTCACGTACAAGTGTCCTTAAGGCCGGATAGGTGGAGCAGCTCGAGAAGGGATTGTGTGTCGCCCGAAATTGGACACATATATATAAATTCAGATCCGCGTCTTTGTGGACGTACAGCAAGCGTGTTCGTCAGGTATTGGCGCGAAATTGTGCAATACCGTTCCCTATCGTGATAATTAATTAACCCCAACCCCCTCAGATGATTTCTTCTATGAAGAAACAGGCGACACCGCGTTCAACCCGCCAGCAATTCGTTTTGGATGAAGGGATAAATTCAGAAATCGTTGCTAGCCAATCTAGGTCAGGATATCCACTGCCTGGAATAGTTTCTTTGAGAGCTGCTCCACCTAGGTCCCTGAAGCTGGATATCGTCCAACAAAACTAGTAGCAATAGAACTCGTCCAATCAAACTATTGGATGATAGTTGACAGACAGCTGTGATTCAAACTGAATTCGACTTCGGACGACCCTCTCCTCCGCAAGGAGAATAGCTAAATCGTGTTTCAAGCAAGGAAACTTTTCTCCTCTGTGGTCCTAAATTCGGGGAATTTTTCTATTAAAAAAAAAAAAAGAAAAAAAAAAGAAGAAGAGGAAGAAGAAGAAGAAGAAGAAGAAAAAAGTTAAAAAAAGGAAAAAAACAAGAAAAAGAAAAAAAAGAAAAAAAAATTTGGAAGGAATTTCGGTTATTCTCGATCCTTCCCTTCCGAGATTCTCGTCCTGTTAGCCAACTCTCGATAGTACTTAACGCATCCCAACGTGATCTGGAATAACCTAGGTTCCATCTTTCCAAGATCTTCGTTCCAACCAACTTTTTGGCATTTCGAGGAAAACGAAATTGATCGCGAGGACCGCAAAGGAAGCAACT